AAAAAAAAAAAAAAAAAAAAGAAAACAAAAACATAGTAGCCTGACTCATAGTTTCTCATTGCTTATGTTTCTGTATTTTAATGTTTAGATTAAAACTTTACATAGTTCTGATTATTTCCTTAGATAATTCCCTTAATTGTACTACTGGGTCAAGGAAAGCTCTTGAAAAATTTTCCAAAGTTTTCTGCAGAAATAAAACACCATAAACTCTCATGTGAATGTCCCAGCTCTCCATGTAATTCCTCAACAAAACCATATTTTTATGAAGTTTAGTAAAAACTAACAACAGGCCAGGAGCTATCACTCTCATAATCCCAGATACTAGGGAAGCAGAGATTAGGAGGATCACAGTTTGTGGACTGCCTGCACAAAAAGCATGGTCTCATCTCAACCAAAAAAGCTGTTATCATTGCAGCATTGCTGGAAGCATATATAGGAGGATCAAAGTCCAGAGTGATCAGGGTAAAAATAACTAAAGCATCCAAGCACTGGTAGCTTACAGTTGAAATCCTAACTACTCAGAAGGCTGAAATCTGAGGATTGTGGTTCAATACCAGCCCAGGAAAGGAAAGTCCATGAGGCTCTAGCCTCCAATTAAGTATAAAGAAGAAAACAAAACAAAAATTGAAGCGGAGCTGTGACTCAAGTGAATACTAGCCTTGAACAAAAAAGCTCAGGGGAGGAGCTGGGAAGGTGGCTCAGTGGTAGAGCGCTTGCCTTGCATGCCTGAGGCCCTGGGTTTGATTCCCCAGCACCATATAAGCAAAAAGAAAAAGGCCGGAAGTGGCGCTGTGGCTCAAGTGGTAGAGCACTAGCCTTGAGCTGAAGAACTGAGGGACAGCACCCAGGCCCAGAGTTCTAGGCCCCATGATCGGACCCCAAAAAAAAAAAGCTCAGGGGACGGTGCCCAGGCCAAGTTAAAGCCCCCCAGGAGAAGTGTGCGTGCACACACACACCAAAAACAAAAAAAAAACTAAAGCAAAGACTGGTCATATGGCTCACATGGTATAACAACACATGATAATCAGCAAGAGGCACTGAGTTCAAATGTTAATAACACCAAATCAAAAGAGGAGTAAGAAAAAAAGAGATGTACTCATTCTGACTTATGAAATGGTAATCTGTCTGTAGAATGCCTTAATAAGATAATTTTTTTAAAGAGGTAGTCAGGTGACCTATCATAAATGTGTAGAATAGAGAGGGCAGGAAGACCAGGAGGCAGGTTACAAAGTCAGCTGCTACACAACAGCACTAGATTATTTAGGGAAAGAGAGCCTGAAGAAATGTGTATTAAAAGCCAGGCGCTAGTGGCTCGTGCCTGTAATACTAGCTACTCAGGAGGCTGAGATCAGAGGATGGAGGTTTAAAGCCAGCCCAGGCAGGAAAGTCTGAGACTCCCGGGATCTCCAATAAACCACTCAGAAAGCTAGAAGTGGTGCTATGGCTCCAGTGGTTAGCCTTGAGCTGAAGAGCCTAGGGACAGCGCCCAGGCCCAGAGTTCAAGCCACACAACAGATAAATAAAATGTATATTAAGGCCTGGCACAGGTAGCTTACACCTGTAACCCTAGCTACTCAGGAGGCTGAGATCTGAGGATTGCAGATCAAAGCCAGCCTGGGCAGGAAAGTCTGTGAGACTCTTATTTTCAATTAGCCACCAGAAAACTGGAATTGGAGCTCAAAGTAATAGAGCACTAACTTTAAGCAAAGAGCCCAGGGGTAGCACTTAGGCCCTGGTTCAAGGCCCATGAACAACAACACAAAATATAGCTAAACTCCATGGTAGTGTTTGCCTAGCTTTCCCTATACTATACACTCCATCTCCAACCCCACAAAAATTAACTTTCAAACATGTTATCTTCCAGGTGTGCAAGAAAGAAGTATTAATCAACAGGCCATCAAATTCTAGAATGGCTTTGTAAATAAATTTTTGCTCCTAAAACGCCTTATCCATAGTCATATAGTCCTGAGAGAAAAAAAATTTTCTTTAATGTTGCTGGAGCTTCTTTGCAATCTTTTTCTAAATATGAAACGTCTAACACCATTGCCATATAAAGACTGACAAGTACGTGTGTGTGTTTTGACAGAATATGAAAAGACAAAAGATCACCAACGAAAGAAGTGGATGGAACAAATATACTCTACACAACATTCAATTTGGAAAGATGCTGGGCGTAATAAACCGGCTGCTTTCTCTTAACATGAGAGACAAAGAAAGGTAGTATAGTTTACCTCCGTCCCCAGCAAGCAGGTGTTTTCGGCAGGGTTACTATTTCCCAGGGCAGAGCAATCAGGGTTTCTTTCTCGTTGGGGCTGACAAGCTAGAGGCCGCTACGAGGAGAGAAAGAGGTGTCAGGCACCGGATCTGTTTTCTTAACCCTTAATTTCGGCCCCACATACAAACCAGACAGCACGGACGTAAAGGGAGTAGGCTGGAGGCCTTTGTGCCCACAACGTGTCGCTAGGGCGCCATCCCGCGCGGGCTCGGGTTCCTTCTCGCCTTTTCCAGGCGCTGACGGCGGGCCCGGCCAAGCGCCTCTCCCGGCAGACGCCCCTGGCCCACCGGGCACGGGTGTGGGCGGCCGGCGCGCCCCCGAGACTGGAGCTCC